TCCCAACCCAGGGATCGAACCCATGTCTCTTGTGTCTCCTGCAATGGGAGGCAGGTTCTTTACCACTAGTGCCACCTTGGAAGGCCTTAGATTCTTCTAGGATTGTGCAAAGGGTCTCTATCTCTCTCCAAATCACAGTCTCTACCCTCTGCGGTCTACACCTAAAGGAACTCCAGGAAACTTTTGTACCCAAGATGTGTGAAGACCACTGCTACACCCGGGTGTTCGTGGGGGTGGGGGAACACTTAGGACACCAAATAAGAGAGAAGCTCTGCCCGGCATGGGGCCCACAACCAAGATCCACTCAGGTTCTCATGGGAAGAGAACTAGCTGCTTCCTCCCCTCCCGGCATTAAAGTGGCAAATTCCTCGAAAGTACCTTGGACACAAGGAAAGACCAAGTTCACAAGGGGAGTGGGGTAGGAGCCCCTTTGTTCTCACCTGCACCCACCTGCTTGAGGTGGAAGTTGTGGCCAGGTGGCATCTGCCCAGGGCAGATGTCACGGACCTCACACTGCCTGCCGGATGTGGCACCTGTCTCATTTCCCCACAGATTCCCCAGCTTCCTCCAGCCCTGGGTCAGCTCCTCTCAGCCCAGCCTCTGCCCTCTGGGAACTGTCACTGTATGGCAGCTCATTTCTTTCTAAAATTATTTAAAATTTTATTGAAATATAGTTGATTTACAAACTTGTGTTAATTCTTACTCTACTGTGTCATTTCTTTATCATGAACATCTCTGCATTCCCCTCCCCCAAGACCACGTCATTTTAAAACAAAACAGCAGAACATTAATTCATCTATGAAGGGATTACCTGGTGGCTCAGACGGTAAAGAATCTACCGGCAATGCAGGAGACCCAAAATCAATACCTGGGTCGGGAAGATCTCCTGGAGAAGGAACTGGAAATCCACTCCATGGATTGGATTGGAGGAATCCACTGGAAAATCCACGGAAGGAGGAGACTGGGGGGCTACAGCCCATGGGCTCACAAAAAGTCAGATACAACTGAGCAACTTCTCTTTCTTTTACTTTCATTAAGGGCTCAAAATATGCCTTCATCATTGCAAGGGTTCATCAGTTCAGTTCAATCACTCAGTCACGTCCGACTCTGCGACGCCATGGACTGCAGCACACCAGGCCTCCCTGTCCATCACCAACTCCTGGAGTTTACTCAAACTCATGTCCATTGAGCCGGTGATGCCATCCAACCATCTCATCCTCTGTTGTCCTCTTCTCCTCCCAGCAACAGGGTCTTTTCCAATGAGTCAGTTCTTTGCATGAGGCGGCCAAAGGATTGGAGTTTCAGCTTCAGCATCAGTCCTTCCAATGAACACCCAGGACTGATCTCCTTTAGGATGGACTGGTTGGATCTCCTTGCAGTCCAAGGGACTCTCAAGAGTCTTCTCCAACACCACAGGTCAAAAACATCATTTCTTCAATGCTCAACTTTCTTTATAGGCCAACTCTCACATCCATACATGACTACTGGGAAAACCATAGCCTTAACCAGATGGACCTTTGTTGACAAAGTAATGTCTCTGCCCTTTAATATGCTGTCTAGGTTGGTCATAACTTTTCTTCCAAGGAGCAAGCATCTTTTAATTTCATGGCTGCAATCACCATCTGCAGTGATTTTGGAGCCCAAACAAATGAAGTCTGTCAATGTTTCCATTGTTTCCCCATCTATTTGTCATGAAATGATGGGACCAGATACCATGATCTTAGTTTTCTGAATGTTGAGTAGTTTTAAGCCAACTTTTTCACTCTCCTCTTTAACTNGTAGTGATGCTTCCTAAGGCCTACTTGACTTCACATTCCAGGATGTCTGGCTCTAGGTGAGTGTGAGTGATCACACCATCGTGATTACCTGGGTCATGAAGATCTTTTTTGTACAGTTCTGTGTATTCTTGCCACCTCTTCTTAATATCGTCAGTTTCTGTTAGGTCCATACCATTTCTGTCCTTTATTGAGCCCATCTTTGCATGAAATGTTCCCTTGGTATCTCTAATTTCTTGAAGAGATGTCTAGTCTTTCCTTTTCTATTGCTTTCCTCTATTTCTTTGCACTGATCACTGAGGAAGGCTTTCTTATCTCTCCTTGCTATTCTTTGAAATTGCATTCAGATGGGTATATCTTTCCTTTTCTCCTTTGCCTTTTGCTGCTCTTCTATTCACAGCTATTTGTAAGGCCTCCTCAGACAACCATTTTGCCTTTTTGCATTTCTTTTTCTTGGGGATGGTCTTGCAAGGGTTCATAGCAAGTTTATTTTTGCATTTGAGGCCAATTTGCAGGGTGCTTTCACAGTGTGAGTTTATTAAGGTATATCACCTAGAAATCTTGTTTTCATCCATCTGGAGGTGGGGGTCCTTTCTTTATTCAACCTTTTCCTCCTGTTTGCTGGCTTTTGTTCCTCAGGCTCTGGGACCAGGAATGAGATGCTTATCAGCCCTGAGCCCTGGTGAAGAGATAGCAGAGCCGCTCTGCGAGCTTGGGAGTTAAAATGTAACCTGCCCAAGAGCACTTTCTAAGCAAGACCTGAGAGACAAATTCAGCGGTCAGCAAGGTGGTATTTCTTAATTGATTGTCCTTACGGAAACCAACATGTTTATCTGGTTTTTTTTTTAAAGTATCTTCATTGGACATCTTTCATTAGACTTGTTATGTGTTTGTGAAAAATATCAACAGGGAAGATAGTAACTCCCAGATAATTAACCAACTCACTCTGAATCAGCAGGAGAGGCACCCAAAGATCAAAGCAAGCAGGGAGCAAACAGGTCATCCTTTCCATCTCTAAAACTCATCATTCTCTAAGGTAATTATGACAAAAGTCTTTTTTCACAGTATCTGAAGAGACAAGGCATGCCAAAAACATTAAAATCTTTTAAGAAAAAAAAAATGAGTGTGCATAAAAGCTGGTGAAATCTGAGCAAGTTCTGTGGACTATCAATACCATGCAATTCTTAGTATTGATAATAAACTATAATTAAAAAGGTGCTACCTCTGGGGGAGACTGGGTGACTGGGTGATGGTTATGCTGGATCTCTCAGTAGTATTTTTGTAAATTCTTGTGTGTTTATAATTATTTCAAAGTAAAAGAAAAACAGGTTTATGTCTATATATTATATATTTAAATATACATATATATATTGATATACTAGAGATACAGCTATATGTTTAGACATGTCTGTTTGTATTTGGTACATGTGTATACACTTGGACATATGTACATTATTTGGATATGAGTGTATATGTTTGGCTAGCATGTGCTTAGTCACTCAGTCGTGTCCAACTCTTTGCGACTGCATAAACTGTAGCCCCCAGGCTCTTCCGTCCATGGGACTTTTCAAACAAGTAATGCTGGAGAGGGTTGCTACCTCCTTCTCCAGGGGAGTTTCCCAATCCAGGGACTGAACCTCGGTCTCCTGTGTCTTCTGCATTGCAGGAAGATTCTTTACCCTCTGAGCCATCTGGGAAATCTCTCATATAGGGATATAAGTGTACATATTTGGATACATATGTATATGTTTGGGCAAGTGTCACACGCTAATAAAGTAATGTCCAAAATCTTCCAAGCCAGGCTTCAGTAATAAGTGAAGCGTGAACTTCCAGATGTTCAAGTTGGTTTTAGAAAAGGCAGAGGAACCAGAGATCAAACTGCCAACATCCGCTGGATCATCAAAAAAGCAAGAGAGTTCCAGAAAAACATCTATTTCTGCTTTACTGACTACGCCAAAGCCTTTGACTGTGTGGATCACAATANACTTATATTCCACGCTGCACTAGAGCATCTAGCCAGTGCAATAACGCAACAAATATACAATCAGTATATAACCAACTAGAAACGAAATTAAGAAAACAATTACATTCATAACAGCATCAAAATTAAAGTATTTAATAATTTGGCCACCTAATGCGAAGACTTGACCCATTGGAAAAGTCCCTGATGCTGGGAAAGATTGAAAGTGGGAGGAGAAGAGGACGACAGAGGATGAGATGGTTGGATGGCATCACTGACTCGATGGACATGAGTTTGAGTAAACTCCGGGAGTTGGTGATGGACAGGGAGGCCTGGTGTGCTGCGCTTCATGGGGTCGCAAAGAGTTGGACATGACTGAGCAACTGAACTGAACTGATATACATATTTGAATATGTGTATATATTTGGACATGTGAGTACATATTTGGACGTGTATGTATATATTTGTATATGTGTGTATGTATTTGTATATATATGTATATATTTGGACATGTGAGTACATATTTGGATATATACTTAAGAGGACCCAGAATGATGTAGATTCTTCCACAATATTTGAGAACTTCCCAAGTATAGAAACTTGCCGGGGGAGAATCTAAACTTATAGAATTTCCAAACTGGGGAGGCTAACCCAACCTTTGATTTCTGTGAGCTCACAAGAAGGGTGAGTGAGACGACAGGCCCTCTCCCCGCCTCCACGCGCCCCCCGCCCTCCGCCCCACTGCAGCCCAGACATTATTCAAGCCTCACTGAAGCCTCCGGCTCAACAGCCCGCCCCCTACACGTCGCCCTGCAATCCAGAGCCGTCGGAGCTCAGGCCTGCTCTGGCCTCCTGGGTGCTCAGGGGAGGCCATCATCTCTGCATGCAGGTGAACCATTCAACAGAGGCCCCAGCAGCTCGCCTGGACCCCAAGAAACCACCCCTCCCTCATCTGCGCATCCTCGCCAGACTCACCCTGCGGTGGAGGCGCCCCGAAAGGTCCCCGAGGGAAGCGTGGAGCTGGGAGGCGGGGGGTGGGGGTGGGGGTCAGAGTTTCAAGGTAGTGAGGCCTGGTCTGGGCCGCGGCCTTCAGTCCTCGCCGCTGCAGTGTCCGCAGGACGGCCTGCGCGGGGCGCAGTGCCCGGGACACCGGGAAACCCTCCCGGCCCCCCGCGATCCCCCTCCTGACCAGGAGGGGGCGGTGCGCGTCCGCGGCTCGGACTGCGAGGCGGGCCGGCAGCGGGACTGACGCTCGGCGGGAGGAGAGAGACCCCGCTTCCCGTCTTGGGGAGCGAGTCCCCGCCTCCCGGGGAAGCGACCCCGACCCCAGAGGACGAGCGGGAGCTGTGGGAAACAGGAGAAGCGTGTTCTGAGCAGAGAAGATGAACGTGCAACGTCGCAGAGGCAAGGGTCCCATCCAAGAGAGGCAAAGTCCTTCAAGCTGCAAATCAGAAATGATGGGAAAGAGCCGGAATCGCATCTACACCCCAGCAAGAAAGACAGGGACCCTTGAAGGGTCTTCAAATGGAAGAGTGGCCTCATCCTCCTGCCTCGTGTGGTGAGCAGAGAAGGAAGGAAAGTGAAAGTCGCTCAGTCGTGTCCGATTCTTTCCGACGCCATGGACTGTGTCCATGGAATTCTCCAGGCCAGAATACTGAGTGGGTAGCCCTTCCCTTCTCCAGCGGATCTTCCCAACCCAGGGACTGAACCCAGGTCTCCCGCGTTGCAGGTGGATTCTTTACCAGCTGAGCCTCAAGGGAAGCCCAGAAAGGAAGGAAGTGACAGATTAGGGAGGTCTGAAAGCAGACACCTGCAAAACAGAAAGGGCATGGGATCAGGGAGGTGGTTAGAGAGTGGAATTGACAAGGTTTTGTGACTGACTGGATCTGCGGGCGGGGGTGGGGGTGGGGTGGGGGAAGCGGTGAAATCAAGGCTGGTGCCAGGGTGTCTATCTTGGTAGAGAGGGGTGTCTTCATTGAGAAGGAACTGATCAAAGAATGTTACCTCTGGGAACTTATGAAAGTCCCCCGTAGCAGTTGCCCAGAAGGCAATTGGATATTTGGGTCTAGAGCAGCGTTTGGCAAACCGTAGCCCATGGGGCAGCCTCCTGGTTTTGTAAATAAAATTTTATGGGCGCACAGCCCAGCCTGTTCATTTACTACCGGCCACTGGCTGCATGTGCATGACAATGAGTAGATGCGACTGAAGGTGTATGTTGGCCAGAGGTCCATAAAATATTTACTACCTGGCTTTTTGCAGGAAATGTTTGCCCAGGGAAGCGGTGTGGGCTGGAGATACAGAATCGAGTATATAACACTGAATCAAGGGAAGTGGATGAGGTCACCCCGGGAGAAGAAAAGAAGGCTTGGGATGGAACAAGGTATATTCCACATCTCCTTTATCCGTTTAACTGTTGATAGACATTTGGGTTGCTTCCATATCCCGGCTATTGTAAACAGTGCTGCCACGAACACAGAGGTGCATGTATCTTTTGACTTAGAGTTTTATCCCAGTATATGCGCAGTAGTGGCATTGCTGGGTCATATAGCATTTTTATTCCTATTTTTTTAAGGAAAAACTTTTTTAAAATTTATTTTTAAGGGAAAAAAAATAGGAATAAAATAGTCTTCTCCATTGTGGCTGGAGAATTTACATTTCCTCAACAGTGCAGTAGGGTTCCCTTTTCTCCACACCCTCTCCAGCATTTGTTTGTAGATTTTTTTTGAGGATGGCCATTTTGACCCATGTAAGGTGGTACCTCTATGTAGTTTTGACCTGCATTTCTCTAATAATTAGTGATTTTGAGCCTCTTTTCATATGCCTTTTGGCCATCTGTATGTCTTCTTTGGAGAAATGTCTATTTAGGTCTTCTGCCCAGTTTTTGATTGGGTTGTTTTTTGTTTCTTTTTGTTGTTGTTGTTGGTATTGAACTGTATGAGCTGCTTGTATGTTTTGGAAATTGCAAGTATTTTCTTCCAGTCTGTAGGTTATCTTTTCATTTTGTTTATGGTTTACTTTGCTGTGCAAAAGCTGTTAAGTTTAATTAGGTCCCATTTGTTTACTTTTGCTTTTGTTTCCTTTGCCTTGGGAGACTGACCTAAGAAAACATTGCTGTGACTTATGTCAGAGAAAGTTTTGCCCGTATTCTCTTCTAGCAGTTTTACGGTGTCAGGTCTTATGTTTAAGTCGTTAAGCCATTTTGAGTTTATTTTTGTGTACAGTGTGAGGGAGTGCTCAAGGGAAGTCTTTCGAGGTGATGAACAGTCAGCTGGAGGACTCTAATGGTGGGGTTCTGAGAAACCAAGGAGAGTGAGACTTTGTTGATGGTGGGAATGCCAGCAGTGACAGATGCTTCTGAGAATTCAAGTGAGATTTACTTGTGTGTCCCAGCACATATGGGGGAACATATGGGGTCACAACACCTTACGCAGCCAAATCTCAATGACTAAGGCTCCAGACAAAATCCAGTCTGCCCACCACTCTCACTAAATATATACAAACCCCAGGTGGTGCACTGATAAAGAATCTGCCTGCCAATCCAGGAGGTGCAGAGGACGCAGGTTCAATCCCTGGGTCAGGAAGATCCCCTGGAGGAGGAAATGGCAACCCACTCCAGTCTTCTTGCCTAAAAAGTTCCTCGGACAGCAGAGCCTGGGAGCTGCTGCAGTCCGGGGAGTCGCAAACAGCTGGACACGACTCAGTAAGCACAGCACCCGGGAAAACAGCGGATTTCATTCAACCAATTCCTGACCCACCTCTGCAACCCTTTTGCCCCAGCATGTTTGTTCTTTGACTGATCTCCATTTAACAGCGATTTTGTAACATCACATTTTATGAGAGAATAGAAAAGTCATTCATTCTTTCTCGAGCATTTTTTTATCGGTAGATTTAAAAACTTTCAAGTTCATAACTTATTACTGATAACGAAAGACAGCTTTTAAGGATTGTTGTAAAATTTAGGGAGGCCACCATCAAATTACTTTTATGTATGAGCTGTAAGATTTGGAAGACTTCCCAGGACTTTCTTCCAGCTTGGTGCCTTTCAAATGCATGTATCATATCAAATTAGCGAGAGAAAAAGAAATCTTCTAGGTTGAGACTCGGTGGACTGTTTACCATCTGAAACCATCAGGGAAGCCTCCTAGTTCAATGAGTGGGGTGGATATATTGATTTGGGGTTCAAGTATCATAAAGAAGTTACCTGGTTGATGTCTGGCGAGTTTAGGCAGAAGATGGGAGCCAAGTATATAAACTTTGCCTGGAAAGGGGTGAATTATGTCCTGACCCAGTGTGAGAGTGATAAAGGGACAAGACCCAGGTAACGGTCACCCAGGATGGCCCCTTCACGAGCCCTGTGGGGCTGGTGACATTCCATTCGTAGGTTTCATGTGGCATTTCTAAGAGGAGGACACAACACATACTGTGAACTCTTCACTCATCAGTGTTTTATTTCTAATGAACCTATTTACAAGGGCTTCCCTGGTGACTTGATAGTAAAGAATCCACCTGCCAAGCTGGAGATGAGGGTTTGATCCCTGGGTCCGGAAGATTCCCTGAAGAAGGAAATGGCTTCTTCAACCCCTCCTCCAGTATTCTTGCCTGGGAAGTCTCATGGGCAGAGGAAGCTATCAAGCTACTGTCCATGGGGTTGCAAAAGAGTCAAAGATGACTCAGCGACGAAACAACAGTTGGTAGTTCAGAAAGGCTCCGCAGGCAAGCAGCAGCTAACCCATATGTCACTGCAAGCCCCCTGCGGGGTTCTGTACCCCAGTTCCTTCCAGAGTCCTCCCCTGTTGCCCGTGGAGTGAGGGATTGCTGCAAACATTGTCCAGCTTTATTCGACCTACTTTACAAAACCAAGTCCCACCATCTGAATAACTATGGGAGCTAAAGGCTTACTGCATTTGGTTCCTCAAGACCCCTTTCCACCTGCCCAGGCCAAACTTAAGAGTAATCCCATGAAGAGTCCTGGGGCCCTTCTGTGGAAATTACAGTACATCAGACATTGCAGGAGACCCGCTCTGCCTGAAACCAAGGGCTGCCGTCAGTCACATCTTCCTTGGGAAGGAAGCACCGGGTTCAGACATGGGTGGGCAGTTCACTAAGAACTGATCTGCTGATGAGCAAAAGAGTGGAGAAGTGAAATGAGACAGGCATTATTACCACAGGGGCAATTTCTTACTTCCAACTACCATTTATTATAGGCTTGTCCACTTTCTGCTGGGCACAAACACCATGATTAAGGAAGCACAATAAAACCCATATCATGCTATGATTAGCAGCTTTTCCGCTATTATTATTATTACCATCTTACAGGTCAGGACATTGAAACTCATCTGCCCAAAGTTATGCCAATGGAAAGGATCCTAAGTATCTGGGTCCCAAGTGACTGTTTTTAACCACTGCCTTGCAGACTTCTTCTGGAAGAAGCAACATCAGTGGCAGCGACAATAGTATTAGCTCCACTGGATTGAGAAATGTTTGCACAGGAGGCCCTGTCCTTAGTACTTCACGTGCAGGCATGCTCAGTTGCTTAGGATGTCAAATTCTTTGCAACCCCATGCACTGTAGCCCACCAGGTTCCTCTGTCCATGGGATTTCCCTGGCAAGGATACTGGAGCGGGTTGCCATTTCCTTCTCCAGGGGATCTTTCTGGTCCAGTCGAACCAGCATCTCCTTCATTGGCAGGCAGATTCTTTACCACTGAGCCCCTGGGAGGGAGCCCCTAGCACTGTACATGGATTATTTCATTTACTCCTCCTCCTGACCCTAAGAGGAATTTGTTATCATTCACGTCTTACTGACTCAGAAGGAGAGGTTCAGTTAACTGCCCCAGGGTCACACAGCTGGTGAGGCTGGATGGGGTATCGAATGCCAGGGCCAAGCCCTTCAGCCCTCCAGCTTCCTATCGTTGCCACATTCACTCCAATGCTCAGAACGAGCATTTATTGAGCACCTACTGCTTTTGTGGAACTGTGATCACCCTGGAAGTCCCAGCACTGAGGCCAAGCCAAGCACTGTTAGAAAGAACAGAAGTGTGCTGGCTGGTAGGGGTGGGATGCGTAGGGGGTGGGGGTGTGTGTGGGGGGGAGGGGGGTCGCTGCTTATCTCCGTGGTGCTGCCCAGAGGCCATCTGCCTGAGTTTGCACATTTCAGTTTCTTGTACTGAGCTTGCTGCCTAATTGTGCAGAGTTCTGTTTGCTTTGTTTTTAGAATGAACATCACCAAGCAGAGGTTAAATTCCAGGACACGCACTGCACATTGCATTTCCCCAAACCAGCAGAGGGTGTGTTGGTGCTCAAATAAATGAAATTGAATGAAAGCTTCTCTTTCTGGTCTCTCTTCATTATTGATCCATAAAGGCCTTTAAAGGGGTCAGCTTTTGTTGCAATCAACAACTAGGCAGGCAAAGAATCAGGCCATCGAAGGCTTTCTTCTTCTCAAAGCTCCTTTTTGAGCCGGGTTCTGCAGAGTCTTGCTTATCTGGAGAGACGGGCAAGCCACAGGAGATAAAACAGATTATGTTACTTGCTTAAATGTGGAAGGTTGGCTTCCTGCAAGAGCTTGGAGTTTCCAGAAACACCGAAACTGCCTCCCCTTGGGCGATCCCAGCGCCTGGGGGCAATAGCTCTGACGCAGTTCAGACTTCACTCCAAACCACAGAAGCGCAAACAACCTTTCTTCTCAGCCGGGCCTTTGAAGCGCTCTACTCGGCCGGGAAACACTTCGGAGCCAAACAGAAGCGGACTCCGACAGCGGCCGGCAGGGGACGGCAGACCCCAGCCTGTTCAGCCGCGGGGGCTGCCGCCCGCGCCCCCAGGTGGGGGTCCCCCAGTCCACCAAACCTGTCGCAGGTTTTCTGCTCAGAGGCTCCACCAGCCCAGTTCATTCCCTTCTCAGGCTGCAGGCTCGGGCTGCAAGGGAGAGGATTCCAAGGCGGGGATGGGAGCTGGTGCGGGCGCCTGGCCAATTGCTGTGGACGATTTATGCCTCTGATAGGAAAACTGGAGATGCTGGCCAAGTCGGCAGCTGCCTGCATTCCGGCAAAGTCACGGGGCGGCGGCGGCGGCCTCGCGGCCAGTGCCCGCGCGGCGGGAGCCGGGACCCGCCCCGGGGAAGGATGCGCGGAGCCAAGGTAGGGGACCCCTCCGCCTCCAAGCTGGGCTCGGGCCTGCCGGCGCGTGGCCCGCCCTCCCGGGGGGTGGAGATGGGGAGCGGGTCAGGTCCCGTCGGCCCAGCAGCTGGCTCAGCGTCGGAACACAACGGGGTGGCTGGGTTGACCATCTGTATGGAAGGGGAGAAACGGAATTTTCAGTGAGTGGGTTTTTCCCTTTCCAGGAGCGCTGATGCTTGGCCCTGGTGCTCTAGACCCTGAATGCCCAGTTTCGAAACTGGCCAGAGTAGGCGATGTTTCGGGGGAGGGCAGCCCCCTGCATCTCCCTGTTTTTACATCCTTTTGCTGAGGGTGTGTGAAGAGATTGCGACAGGCTGGGTGGGAAGAGATGGGCAAAGAGCTCCAACGCCTGTATTTCCGAGCAGAGACATTTCACAGCCAGGAAAAACCAATATAATCAGTTCTGCCTTAACATGCCCACTGTGGGCATGTCATCTTCCTGCTACAAATTTGCCTTGTTTTATGCTGTACCTGTGTTCCTAGAAAGACATATTGTCCCTCAGTCATGTCCAACTCTTTGCGACTCTATGGAGTGCAGCATGCCAGGCTTCCCTGTCCTTCGCCATCTTCCCGAGTTCGCTCAAACCAACGTCCGTTGAGTCAATGATGCCATCCAGTCATCTCATCCTCTGCTGCCCCCTTCTCCTCCTGCCCCCAATCTTTCCCAACATCAGGATGTTTTCCAGTGAGTTGACTCTTTGCATCAGGTGGCCCCAGTATTGGAGCTTCAGCTTTAGCATCAGCATCAGTCCTTCCAATGAATATTCAGAGTTGGTTTAGGATGGACTTTAGGATGGACTGGTTTGTTCTCCTTGCTGTCCAAGGGACTTTCGAGAGCCTTCTCTACCACCACATTTTGAAAGCATCACTTCTTCAGTGCTCAGTCTTCTTTATGGTCCAGCTCTCACATCCAACATACATGACTACAGGAAAAACCATAGCTTTGACAATACGGACCTTTGTCAGCAAAGCAACATCTTTGCTTTTTAGTATGCTGTCTAAGTTTGCCATAGCTTTACCATAACTTCCAAGGAGCAAGCAGCTTTTAATTTTATGACTGCAGTCACCATCTGCAGTGATTTTGGAGCCCAAGAAAATAAAATCTGCCACAGTTTCTATTTTTTCCCCATCTATTTTGAAAGCCACGTAAAACATTTTTGTTATTAATGAGGATTTAAATGGCAAGAAGTAGCTTACCGTAGGGTATATTGATTCCAGGTTAAAGGGGCATTTATATGCCCTAGCTATGAGTATTTATGTGCTCTGTATGCTTCATGCTATGTAGAACTACAGGTGACATAATCCCCCGGAGAAGGAAATGGTAACCCATGCCAATATTCTTGCCTGGAGAATTCCATGGACAGAGGAGTTTGATGGACTACAGTCCATGGGGTTGCAAAGAGTTGGGCATGACTGAGTGAATAACCCTTTTACTTTCACTTTCAAATTCATATAAGTACAGTAAAATTAATACTCTAAAACTAGCTAATGTGCTTACTAATCAGAAAAAAATCCAATTTCTAAAAATTCTATCCCATTTAGTAATTTGATCCATATAACATATATATGTATGTATGTGTATGTGTGTATAGATAGCTTTATAAGAAAAAGTTACATTACACATCGTACTGAGTTTATTTTTCCTGCCCATCACTAAGACGTCTTTTAATTTTAAAAAGTGGATTATATAGATCTGTGAAATAAGCAACCAGAACAAAAACATTGTGTGCTTTTGTGGTTATATAAACAAAAGACTGAAAGTAACAATTTATACTGCTGGTCAAGCGTTAAGTTGTCCTTATCAGCAATTGTCAATTTAAGTACTGATAAATGGAGAAGACTAGAGCTGAATTCCCAGAAGGCCAGACCTTGGAAATTTCTCTTTTGAATAGATTACTGGTAGCTGTTGTTCGTCTTTCTTACAAAAGTAGAAACAAGTATGTTGTTGAGTCGCTAAGTCATGTCCAACTCTTCTGTGACCTCATGGATTGTAGCCTGCCAGGCTCCTCTGTCCATGGGATTTCCCAGGCAAGGACACTGGCGTGGGTTGCCATTTCCTTCTCAAGGGACTCTTCCTAACCCAGGGATAGAACTCATTTCTCCTTCATTGATAGGCAGATTCTTTACCACTGATCCACTGAGGAAGTCCAGAAACAAGTATACAAAACTGGATTTAGAAAAGTGGGCATTTAAACAATCGCAGTGCCCTCCTCCTAAAGGTGATCAACAAATGATTTCAATGACACTTATGCCGGGCTGGTCATCACTCCCTCCCTCTTCTAGATGACAGTCCTCCAGATTTCTGCAGCCAGAGCCCCTGTTCCCAGACCCAGCATCGCCTGGTGCTTCAGGACTTCCCAAGTCCCTCAGCAACATCCCAAGAAAATGGGACACCTTAGAGAAGACCCTACCGTGTCCTCCAGGTATGGTCCAGGGAAGGAAGACAAAGCCCTGGTTAATTATTCAGTTCAGTTCAGTCTCTCAGTCCTGTCCGACTCTTTGCGACCCCATGAATCGCAGCACGCCACGCCTGCCTGTACATCACCAACTCCCAGGTCATAACTTTCCTTCCAAGGAGTAAGCGTCTTTTAATTTCATGGCTGCAATCACCATCTGCAGTGATTTCGGAGCCCAAAAAAATAAAGTCTGCCACTGTTTCCACTGTTTCCCCATCTATTTCCCATGAAGTGTTGGGACCGGATGCCATGATCTTAGTTTTCCGAATGTTGAGCTTTAAGCCAACTTTGTCAATCTCCTCTTTCACTTTCATCAAGAGGCTTTTTAGTTCCTCTTCACTTTCTGCCATAAGGGTGGTTCATTATTCCGCATCCCTTAATCAAGAGCATCCCTTGAGCAACAGGCCCTATTTCTATTAATTCTGCAAACGGTTGTTAAAAGACCATTCATTTTAAACTAGTAGCTCATGTGTCCTGTGTGCAAGCTGCCCTGAATCTAGCTCTCCACATCCTCCACTGTGTCACTGAGTATAGTTAGTTCATCATGTTATGTTATTTGAGAAATGTGAGCTATGTAGAAAAGAACAGACTAAGCAAATGCTGAAGCGATTCACCAGCTTTCCTTATTTTGTAAACATTTTCAGTTTTTAAGGATACATTATTTATTCGTCTTTGGCTGTGCTGGGTCTGGACCGCTGTGCCCAGGCTTTCTCCAGTTGCAGCCAGCGGGGGCTATTCTTCCCTGTGGTTCCCGGGCTCTAGAGCTTAGCAGCTTTAGTAGTTGTGGCACACGGGCTTGGTTGGTCCGCAGCATGTAGGATCTTCCCCGACCATGGATTGAACATGTGTCCCCTGCATTGCAGGGCAGCTTCATAACCCCTGGACCACCAGGAAAGCCCCTGGTTGCTTTATAATCAGCTCTTGAAGTTGAGAAAGGACATCCACCTAAAATACGGTCAGTTTGCTGGGTCAGTATTAACCCTAACTTTTGTTTCCCTTTGCTAGTTTGGTTTTGGAATCTGATATATCTCTAATTATTTGTCGTGTTGTATTACTTAGCATCAATTTGCCCCCAGCCATTTAAAGAGGCTTTGTGAGGAGTCAAGTCAGAGGCCACCCCATCTTTACTAAGTCTTTTTTCCCCAGTCATAATTTATTTCCTCAGCTTCCTTCTCGTCTTCCAGCTTTGCTTCTGACACACCTCTTCTCTACGGAAAAACTGAAAGACATTTTCATTAGAATTAGAAGGAGTAGCAAATTATAATAGTTTGTTTTTCCTTTTCCTGTTTCTTTAGAAAGTCTCCCATTTGCTTTCTTTGAAGCTGTTTATGAGTGATCGCTTTGTTCTGCTCCCCTAAGACCCTTGCACGTTTGTTCTCTCTTTCATCATCACACCTTGAGTGTTGCCCATGTGGACTGCTTATTGAGATATCATTTGTTCTGCTTTTATCCTCACTAGACCACCCTTCTGTGTGGCTTTTTGATGGTAATATTGTCAAGATTGTCTCCCGATGTGTGCTCACTCCTGTTTCTTTGTAGATTTTTGTTTTAATACCTCTATTTTGACACATTTTTCCCCCTGTGTTATTAAAGGGAAGGTTTTGCTCATAAATAAAAAAGTCTTTTTAAAATATATTTGACAAGGAATTGGCCTTCCCCCATTTTGGTAAGCGAATTGAAGACAGCTAATTCTCTTTGTTGAAAAAAACTGCCACTGGCGAACTGCTTCTGTCCTCCTGACTAGAGAGATCTGAGGCGTTACTGCCATGAACTATTTGCTATCGACCACTTTGCCTGTTTGGGTCAATGTAACTATCAGTATGTTTTGAATATCAGAACTTTCTGTGACCTTAAGCATGCGTGTGAGCAATTACGAAAACTAGATGTACTATCAGATGTCTCAGAAATACGTTTCCCAAAGCAAAGGAAGAATTTTATTGGACTGGTCTATAGTCAAACCATGTCTTACTTTGTAAAACCTGCAAAGGAGGCAAAAGATTTCTTATACCTGGATCAACACACTGATCAGTATCTACAGGGGAAGGCGACAAGGTGTGTCGGTATTTCTAATACACAAATGCTATTGATCCCATGGACGGTAGCCCACCAGGCTCCTCTGTCCATGGGCATTCTCCAGGCAAGAATACTGGAGTGGGTTGCCATGCCCTCCTCCAGGGGATCTTCCCGACCCAGGGATCGAACCCAGGTCTCCCGCATTGCAGGTGGATTCTTTACCGTCTGCGCCACCAGGGGAGCCCATAGATCAAATAATAGGATATTATAATTTTCGTTCATGTCTTAATGAAACCCCTTCTTTTTTGTTTCGTTTTTCGTTTTATTGTAGGATAAGTGATTTACAACGTTGTGCTAGTTCCCGCTGCACACCAAAGTCAATCAGTTATACATGTACACATATCCCCTCTTTTTTAGATTGGTTTCCCATAGAGGCCATTACAGACTATTGGGGAGAAACCGATCAGCTTCCATCACCATTTTTTTTTCTAG